TAGATCCAAGGGGCTATCTTGCGCGTGCGTGGAAAAGTTTTGCGAGGAATCTCGCCGGCGAATAATCTCGCCCTTCAGTCTGGTGGCAGGCCAGACTGTGCGTACTGTTTTTCTTGCAAAGAGTCGTGCGCGCGGCCTTTTTAGAGCCTAACGGCTGCGCGGCTTTACTCTCCGTCTCCTCCCCTCCCGACTTTAAGGGTAGCTCTTTGGGAGATGTTATAGAGGATCGGGAGTATAGCCTGCGCGCCGTTGCCTTTGGCTCAAGGCACGCGCGCCCCATTTGCCCGGACACTTACTTGTGTGTTCGTTATGTGATGGAAAGATTACTACATCGATCTTATCTTATCCTATCCATCCACTCCCCATTGAATCGGATGCTATTTGACTTGCCAGGGTCATTTCAGACTTCAGTGACGGGCCTGTCTTCCAAAAGCAATCAGAAGTTAGTCGGGGGAAGGAGGAGGGTGAGGAGGAGGGCGAAGAGGAGGAGGAGGAGGAGGAGGAGGAGGAGGAGGAGGAGGAGGAGGAGGACCCCCTCCCCCTCCAACTTATGGTGGTGATGGTGGAAAACAGGCCCATCATTCAGGATCACAGATGGTGGGGGAAGTCTCAGTCGAAACGCCTGACCCGCCCGACGGACACGTCTGGAGGTGCGACACGGAGGAGTTTTTGTAAGAAGCAGGAGCGGAGGAGGAGGAGGAGAAGCAGGAGCAGGAGGAGGAGGGAGACGAGGAGGAGGAGGAAAAGGAGGAGGAGGAGGCGAAAGAGCAGGAGGAGGAGGAATACCAGTGCGAAGTCAAGACGCATCATCGATGTTGCAACATACCCTCCCTCGGCGCTCCTTCTTCATAGGGCCCTTTAAGAACTTGTCTTCATAGCGGGAGCTGCCCCACCGACAAGCGTTTGAAAATCGCAAATCGTGCCAGGAAACACTTTGTTGGAATTCAATGCCCTGAATCAGCGTGACTGTCGCGTCCGACGATCATACATCTTGCCAGAACGCCATTCCTTGGAGTTCGACACCATGGTTCAGCCGTGACCGTTACATTCGAGACAGCGGGATCCACCGCCGCTTTACTATGGAAAATTTGCCTTCCCCCCCCCTTCTCTTCCTCGGGAAACCTGGGGCCCCCCCCTCCGAAAATCCCCCCCCTGCTCGAACACCCCCCCCTCCCGTCCCCCGGCAAAACCCCCTTCCCCCCTAACCCCTTCCCCCCCCCCTCTCGGGAAAACCAGGGGGGGTCACTACGGGTTCGAACACCCCCCGTTCTCTCCAGAAAAGCGGGGGGGGTCACTACCGGTTCGAACTCCCCCCCCACTCACCGCTGGCAAACGACTCCGGGGTCCCCACCACCGTCCTCACAACCGCCCTCACCGCTGTCCCCAGCACCACGGTCCCCACTGTTCCCACCACTGTCCCCACTGTCCCCGCCAGTGCCCCCACGACTGTCGCACTGTCCCCTTGTCCCGACCACTGTTCCCACCACGGTCCCACACTCCCCACTGTCCGTCCCCACTGTCCCCACCACTGTCCCACTGTCCCCACTGTCCCCGCCATTGTCCCACTGTCCCCACTGTCCCCGCCCCGCGCTGTCGCATTGAGCTGTCCCACTGTTCTCACCACTGTCCCCACCACTGTCCCCACTGTCCCACTGTCCCATTGTCCCACCACCGTCCTCACCACCGCCCTCACCACTGTCCCCCACCACCACCGTCCCCACCACTGTCCAACTGTCCCCACTGTCTCCACCACTGTCCCACTGTCCCCACCACCACCGTCCCCACCACTTTCCCACTGTTCCCACCACTGTCCCACTGTTCCCACCATTGTCCCCGCTGTCCCCACCAGTGCCCCCACCAGGTTCTCAGTGTCCCCACTGTCCCCACCTCCGTCCCCAACACGGTCCAACTCTCCCCATTGTCCTCGCTGTCCCCACCATTGTCCCGCTGTCCCCACTGTCCCCACTACTGTCCCACTATCCCCACTGTTCCCACCGCTGTCCCACTGTACTGTCCCACCGTCCCCACTGTCCCCACCACTGTCCCCACTGTTTCACTGTCCCATTGTCCTACCACCGTCCTTACCACCGCTCTCACCACTGTCCCCACCACTACCGTCCCCACCACTGTCCCCACTGTCCCCACCACTGTCCCACAGTCCCCACACCACTAACCCCACCACCACCGTCCCAACCACTGTCCCCACTGTCCCCGCCACTGCCCCATTGTCCCCACACCACTGTCTCCGCCACCACCGTCCCCACCACTGTCCCAGTGTCCCCGCCATTGTCCCACTGTCCCGAGGAGCGGGAATCGTTTGCCGGCGGCGAGGGAAGGGGGGGGATTCGAACTGGTAGTGATCCCCCCCCTTTTTCATTATGGACTGGGGGGAGGGGAAGGGGGGGTTCGAACCTGTAGTGACCTCCCCTTGGTTTTCAAGCGGGGGTGGGGTGGGACGGGTGGGGAACCCCCAGTGACCCCCCCTGGTTTTCCGCCAGCAGCGGTAGAACACGCTCTCTCTTACATTCTGACAGTCCTGAATCGCACTAGAACACCCTTTTGTGGTTTTCAAGCTTTCGAACGCTCATAACGGCTGCATAGTTCAACCAATGTGCGTTGCGCTAGAGCGAGAGCCACATTGTGAAAAACACCCGCCCGCCGTCTGAAGCTGTGGCAAACTTTGAAACGAATGTGCGCGGCGCTAAGGTCAGAGTCACATTTGGAAAATTGCCCGCCCTCCATTTTTGAAACTGTTGAACCTTTTCAAGCTTCATGACTATACATGGCGAGGACCTCTCAGGCGAAACGCCTGGCCCATCCTACTGACGCGTCGACCGCGCGTGTGCTTCGTCATTCTCCCAGGGGTGCTGGGGGCCCCAGCTACCCCGCCCCGCGGCGGGTCCCCCATCTGTGCCACAGGCTTGCCCTTACCTATACATCCACCCAGTTTGATCATCCCCCCAGTGGCGAAGACCAATGGTGGGGGGGATGGCTGCGTTTGTCATCGAGCCCCAGTGCAACCAGCCTTGAGCCTTGAGCCTTCGGGATGAGGATGATGATGATGATGATGATGATGATGATGATGATGATGATGATGATGATGATGATGATGATGACGATGCTCATGCTGATGCTGATGCTGATGCTGATGCTGATGCTGATGCTGATGATGATGCTGATGCTGATGCTGATGCTGATGATGCTGATGCTGATGCTGATGCTGATGCTGATGCTGATGCTGCTGCTGATGATGATGCTGATGCTGATGCTGATGATGATGATGATGATGATGATGCTGATGCTGATGATGATGATGATGATGATGATGATGATGATGATGCTGATGATGATGATGATGGTGATGCTGCTGATGCTGATGCTGATGCTGATGCTGATGATACTGACACTGATGATGATGCTGCTGCTGATGATGCTGATGATGATAATGCTGATACTGATGCTGATGCTGCTGATGATGATGAACATGGTAATGATGATGCTGATGATGCTGATGATGATGAGGAGGAGGAGGAGCAGGAGGCGGAGGAGGAGGAGGCGGAGGAGGAGGAATCACCTTGGAAACCAGGGGTGCCGTGGGTGAGGATGGAAGGGAGGAGGGGCGAGGACGGAGAGGAGAGACAGGAACGATGAGGAGGAGGAGGAGGAGGAGGAAGACGAAGAGGAGGAGAGGGAGGAGGAGGAGGCGGAGGAGGAGGAGGAGGAGGAACAGAGGAGAGGGGAGGAGGAGGAGGAGGAGAGGAGGAGGAGGAGGAGGAGGAGGAGGAGGAGAATGAGGAGGAGGAGGAGGAGGAGGAGGAGGAGGAGGAGGCGGAGGAGGAGGAGGAGGGGGGGGGAGGAGGAGGGGGAGGGGGAGGAGGAGGAGGAGGAGGAGGAGGAGGAGGAGGAGGAGGAGGAGGAGGAGGAGGAGGAGGAGGAGGAGGAGGAGGGACGGGGAGGAGGGACGAGGGACGAGGAAAACGAGAAGGAGGGCCCTCCACCAAGCACGCGGCCTCTTACATGATGCTGGCCTCGACGACGGTGACCGCTTCCAGGCTAACGTTAACGGCATCTCTGTCTCGTGCGCCGCCTTGCGTCTTCCGCGGTCCTCGCAGCCTTTCGCAATGCCCTGGCCGAGCCCAGCATGCCGCTAAACGAAACCAAGCTGAAGTTGTGGGGCGTCGAGCGCAAGACACTGCCGTTCGACCTCCAGCAGGACCACGTGGAGACGCTCCAGTTCTTGAGGCACGCTGTCGGGCGTTCCTGCGGGCAGATGCACGTGGCTTGGGGCTGGCGTGTCCTTCGTTTCGGTCACGGCCGTCCTCAGAGGCAACCTCGACAGTCTGTGGGCCCCGCGCGTGGATGGCGGACTCCCCAAGCAGGTAACGCAGGCACTGGCGCGCCTGGCCACGCAGTCGAAACCGCAGCACGTTTTGCGCGGTGCCGCCATATCTTCCGAACAAGCCTGGGCGCACGGCAACATTGTCGAACACTACTGGGCGCGACTGCTCGGCCGAAGCGACGGTTTCGACGCCCCCTGCAGTGCAGGGTTGTTCAGTGCAGTTCGGTTTGCCCTTGCGTTACGGCGGCCTCAGCGTCTGCGGGGTAGAGGTGCGAGTCGTTGCCGCCTTCCTGGCTGATGCTCTTGGGCCTCGACGCCACCGCGGAGCTTCGGCACGTGCTGCATTTGCAGTGCATGGACCGCGCGGTGACCCGACTGGGGCAGAGGGGCCCGCGGGGCTGACACGCCCGTAGCACAGCCATTAGCCGTAACCCGTCAAAGGCATGCAGCGCGTTTGGATTTGAGCGTCCCAAAACAGTTTACACGACCAACTTTGGGAGACAGCCGCGCAGCGCCATGCAGCAACTATCAGGTCCGCCGCCACGTTGGACGCATGCCGCTTTTGGACCCGCCGATGGCCGCTTCTGACAGGGTGGCAGGTGCGACATTTCAGGGAGCTGCCTGTTGCTGCTTGGGCCTGCGACACGGGCCAGTGGACCAG